GAATAAAAGGTTACAGTGTTTTAAAGGACCTGCCTGGTTTTTTTTCAGTTATAATAAATCCCATCCCCGTGGACCTATTTACATAAGTTTAGAAGTAAGTACATATGCTTGAAAGTAGGTACATGGAAGTCAGATTACACTGTCAAGAGTACATCTTCTGAGATAATACAATGACATAACCTAAAGTCAATTGATTTGGTTGACTGCTCATTTATGACAAAGCATGTGTGGTACTATCAGATCATACAGCAATCAGTCCTAGTGCTAATAGATCAGGACTGCAGATTTCAGAATGACTATTACATGGCACCAAAAGTAAGAATTTTCTGATTCTCACTGTTGCCATTTAGTGATCTTCTAGAGTTTTGCGTTCAAGCTCTGGTAGCCTTGATCCCTAGCAGAAGGTGAGAGTAATGGGGAAGATGTTAATATCAGGGCTCAGATAGCTTACTGCAAAATTTATGCCTGATGATCCAATATCCACTCTATTCCATTACATTTCAATGATCTGCCAGTTTGGCTAGGAAAAATGATGTTACTTTGCTGTTAAAGAATAAGAATAAAATGTATCTGTCTAAAATAAGCAAAAACTGCTTGATTTAAATGTGAAAGACACCATTATTCTTGTTGTATTGGTTAGAGTGAAGAATTTATTTCTTCCTGCATTCAGGGGTAGTATTACTGTATGGACAGATGTATAGAGATACCTAACAAGGCAAGAAACCAGGATTAGCTATACAGTCCACACTAAACAGGAGACTAACCATCAGGATACATAAATGGATTCTCTACATTCATTAAAAACACTTCCAAGATGAACAGTGAATTAACTGCTTTGTAATGTTACTAACCAGAAAAAACAATATTTTATTAAACATTGTTTATGCAGTTATTTAGTCTCCTCCCTTAAAACAGTTTATTTAACTGAAAATATGGCTCTTTTTCAATGGATACAAAAGTGGTACACCCATTCTCCACTGTAGCTGAGACTTTCATCCTCTTCTCTTTCCTTCTACCTTTTCGAGAGAGATAGATCTTCACATATATCCAAAGTAGAATAATTTGAGCCTAGTGATTGTGCTGCAAGTGAGAATTCTGGATTGATTTGTTTGGTGATCCATCAATTTTATTCTTGACTGTTCCAATATTTCAGGAGTCTTCTCCAACTTGATAATTCAAAAGCATCAATACTCTTCCTATTCTGCTTCTTCTAAGTTCAACTTTCACTTCCATAAACTGTCACAAGGAATTCCATGAGTTCTCAGTTCTGATCTTTTGTAGCTATAGTCACATCATTGAGGCATTTGAATATATTTCCCAAGGTCTTCATAGCTGGTCTGGCAAATGTATTTCTTGACTGCTTGCAAAACTGGGTGGGGTGGGTAGGGAATTCAAATACATATTTGCACGAGGATGTCATGCCTCTCCCCCTTGTAATGGACTTCTAACTAGTTTTCAGTAGATGAGCCAGTGAATAATTTTTCATTTTATTGCAATTGGAAGAATCCAATAATAGCTGGTGCTTTGACTGCTTTATAATATCATGTTACTTGTAACTATATGATTCCATGAAGAGATTTTGTTATTATCAGACCATTAGCCCTGCAACCAAGCAGAAAACTGAAAAAAGCTATTAGAACTGCAGTTTG